TCAGAAAGCCCTTGACTCTTGCCCCCGTTTGTAAAAACTGTGATCTCCAGAAGTTTCTTCACCTCTCCTGTGGGCTTCTGTTTTCTCACACATACTAGTAGAATGGGGATCACACTAACCTATTGCACAGATTATTGTTAAGCACTAAAGCTTGCAGAAATGTTTTATTGGCTCGTTAGAACACAAGGTGCCCACTCTCCCCCTACAATTGCACAAGGATGATGCTTAACAGAAAAGAAAGCATCAGTTGGGCATTCCAATGCCAATAAGAGCACCTGAGGCCGGCAGGCAGGTGTACTGCTTCCCAGCCTCCCCTCACCCCGGAGCATCTGCTCACTTCCTGGCCAGACTAGATTGCCAGCCCCCGGGTTTTGCATGCCTATACGCAGAGCTCTGGGTGGAGGTGAAGAGGCTTTGGTTTGCAGCATTTGCTATTTCTATGGTGTACATGCTCCCACCATGGACAATTTCAAGCTACCAATGTAACATTAACCATCTTGCAAAACTCCTGAAGATTTATGTTGGTTTCATGCCCAGCTGATGTGGCTCAGCGGCTGAGCATCAACTTGTGAACCAGGAGGTCCTGGTTCGATCGATGATTCTCTTTCATCATTTGTGTTTCTCTCCCTCTCTCTTCCTCTCTGAAATCAATTTTTTAAAAAATTTTAAGTTGGCTTTCACAGGCCAGAACCAGGGAGCTCCAAGCAGTCATTTAGTAGTCACACTCTGTCTTAGTCCATCCAGTCTCTCCCTGTTCCTGCTCTTCAGGCTGTACTTCCAGGTAACCACCCCTGGGCCTTTCCCTTTGAACCCCAGTTCCTGAGCAAGGGTGTGTCTGGCTAGAAAAGGAAATCTACTAGTATTTGGAGATGAACACATTCTCCAGACCTGGAGGAAATGCAGAGTTTGCTGAATTGGCCCCCAGGAGCTAAATAAATGAGTCACCATCCTCCCGAGACTAGTTCTGCTCTCTTACCCCTCCCTCTTCTGAGCCCCAGCAACAGCCTTTCAGCCAGGCCTCTTGGGGTCCTAGAGTGTGGCCACCTCTGATTACACTTTATTCTGAGCTCTCCTCTCTAACCAGAAAGGCCTCCCCAACCTTCCCCGAAGCCCTGCCTGGAAAGGGGAGATGAGAGGAGGGGGAGCCCCTGAGCCCTGTCTCCTCGCTCACCTTCAAGTGCACGAGGAAATTCTCCCTGAGTGGGCAGAGCGGGGCACCAGCCTGGCCTGTATTTCACCCCTGAATGGCCTCGCTGTAGGAAAGAAGCACATCCTGGAAATCTCGTGCTCAATTACAGCACCGCCCTCCACCCTTGGAGCACTTCAGAGCTTCCAAAGCCCTTTTCCCCACGATGCATCATCAGATCCACGCCCCACCCAACTCTCTGCGGGAAATAGTGGTCATTAAAGCACCCTCCTGGCGTCTGAGCCTTCCGGTGTTGGAAGGGACTTCAGATGCCACCTAACCCGCCACCCACCTAGAAAGCTTCCTCACCCTCCACGGGGGCCCAGCTGATCAGCCATCTCTGCATGGCCTTGTAGTAGTGGAAACTCACCCCGCTGGAGGCAGCCTATTCTGCCTTGGAGAGCTAGGCGGTGGGAACTTACCTGGGGTGAGCCCAGATCTGTCTCCAAGTTAGAGAGATCTAATGCCCTGTTTGTAATTTGATCCTTCGGGGCATACAGGACAGAATTGAATCTTTCTTTCAGACGACTCAGAGGGGCTATCACGTCTCTCCATCGTCCCCCTCTTAACATTCCAGATTCCTTCCCATAGTCCCATAGCCCTCATGAGCGAGGGTCCCCCTAGAAATGGGTGGAAGGGTGAGGCACACGCAGTTCCTAGGAAAGTGCAATAGCTGGGAGGAGAAAGACTCAGGTCCGAGGCCACGGCCTCCCTCCTATTAGCCACATGTCAGCAACACCCCAGAAGTGCAGGCAGGGCCGGCGAACATTTACAAGCCTCCTTTTGTGCAGGGTCCCTTCCCCGGTCGACGCTCCTCTAAACGTACCTCCTGCCCCTGTCCCAACACCATGGGTGGCACTGGAGGCCTTGTGCGGATTGGGCCTCTGAATGCAGCGTTAGCTGAGGCTAGTTTTTGCGTTTGTTTGTTCAACAGACATATTACACTTCGGACATAATGAGCCTGCTGTCAACAAAAACTGCCGCTGAACTGTGTCTCCCCTCTTCGGCACTTAAATTATTGATTTTTTTTTTTTTTTTGGCCGAAGTGCTAAACGTGTTAAGTACCGACTTATTAGATGAAAATGAATCTTGCTAGACTTAGAGTGTTGCCAACATCTATAAAGATCTTTTGGATCAGTTTCCTGTCACCCATGTTTGTTAAGCATTTCGTGAGACATCCTCTAAGTCAGGGAGAGAGTACTGAAGAGGAGGGCCAGGCAGAAAGTATATTCCCTCTCCTGGAAGCCTTCCTCACGCTGACACCTACCCTGCAGTTGTCGTCCTTGGGGGGAAGCTGACTAATTCGCACAACTGTCCACCCAGCACGTCTCTCCATGTTTCCCACAAGGATATCTGGGAGGTACCAGGCTGAGGTCACTTACACTGTCCATGTCTACCCCATCTGCCCCATCTGCCAGCTTAGAAGGTGTGTGTTAAATCCAGAAGCTGAGCCTCATTATAGCAGGCACTCAGCCCTGTGACCCCAGTGCCCAGCACAGTGCCCAGTACACGGCAGGGAACGGAGTAGCATTTGGAGAAATAATCCGTTGCATTTGTGAATGAAAGAAACTGGTTACTGTGGACATTAGCAATATTTAGTATTTCTGATTCCACCTTCTTTCTCTTTTAAATATTGGAACAGTTGTTTCTACTTTCTTCCTTATCGCATCTCTTTAATACTCACGAATCCCAAAAGGGCACCAATGTGCTGACTGATAAGATAATAGGAGGGTGGGAGAGTTAAGGGATTTGTCCAAGGCCAAAAGCTAATAACAAGGCAGTAGGGCTCCAGGTACCCTGATGGCTGTCTAGCCTCTTGTGCACTGGGTTTGGGAAAGTTCCCCCAGCTTGGCCAACAATAGCAAAGCTATTTCATCCCAACAAAAAATGATGGGGACACCGTATAGTAAAGCAGATACAGTCCTTTTATAGTCTCAATCTCATTCACTACGCTCATTTATTAATTCAGTTCATTGGTTCAACAAATATTTATTGAGCCTCTACTAGTGCCAGGCAATTCGGAGCGCTAGGAATATAACTGAATCCAGTCCTTTTGAGCTTGAATTTTAGTTGGGGGCAGGAGAAATTTAAGCAAGTAGACATGTAGTACATGTCATGATAAGGGCTATGAAATAAGGCAGAAGAAGGGCGTTATAAGTGGCGAAGGGGCTCTTTACTATGAAGATGTGATGTCTGAGCAGAGACTTAAATGGAGAGAACGAGATAGCAGATGTCTTGGGGATATTGACACCAGCAATACTGTGCTGTGTTTGTGGAAGTACAATACGTTTTCTTCCAGAAAGCAGGGACCTAGATCATATGATAAACTTTTAAGCTATAAAATACCTGCTGCTTTCGAGGTGGATTCATTCATTTACCCTCTCATTTATTTTCTCTACAAACACTAAGCGTCTACTCTGTGTCGGGATGGGTGCTGGGGGTGAGGGTGTGGGCGAAGCTTTAGTGCAGGAGGCAGACAAGTCTATGAGCCCAACGGCACCAGGGCAGCGCTGTCTCGGTGCGACAGACAGGCGAGACATGTCACCATTCGTGACATTTGAGGGATCCCTCTGACTAAAGGAAATACAACATAAAAGCATTATCTTCTGTAGTGATGGTTATCAGAAGTTTTAAAGCCATTTAAGCATTTCTTCAAATGAAACCTTATACAGGAAATTCAATATATAATATTAAAAGGAGTTTCTCTGATTATAAAAAAATATGTATTAAGGCCCTAGAGCAGCGGTTCTCAACCTGTGGGTCGCGACCCCTTTGGTGGTTGAACGACCCTTTCACAGGGGTCACCTAAGACCATCCTGCATATCAGATATTTACATTATGATTCATAACAGTAGCAACATTACAGTTACGAAGTAGCAACAAAAATAATTTTATGGTTGGTCACAACATGAGGAACTGTATTTAAAGGGCCAGAAGGTTTGAGAACCACTGCCCTAGCGGCACCTTTAAAGCATGTAACAGGATGAAAACAACTGCTCTAACTAAATATTTGCGAGGGTTAAGAACAGAAGCCTGTGCAGTGTTGCTAAAACCCGCTTATCTTCAAGTGCCCAGGTCAACCAAATCTGGGGACCATTCAGTTTTCAATCAAAACCATGAGAACAGTTACCTCTGGCTTGCGTTCTGTGGAATAGACCTGCCCAAATGAGAACAGCTCAACTACTGGTATTTTTTCCTCCTCTTCAAGTTATCAAACTTAACACTGCCCAGTACATCCCAGATGACTCATCGGCACAATTTAAAGGGCTTGTCATTTTTTTTTTTTTCTGCTTCTGGACAGAGGTCACCACCTTAGTTTGCATTAAGAATTATCTCTTTCTTTAAAAAAATATTTTTTTATTGATTTCAGAGAGGAAGTGAGAGGGAAAGAGAGAAACGTCAGTGATGAGAATCATAGATCAGCCATCTCGTACACACCCCCAACTGGGGATCGAGCCCGCAGCCCAGGCATGTGCCCTGACTGGGGATCAAACCATGACCTCCTGGTTCATAGGTCAGGAGCCACACCGGCCAGGCAACAGTCATCTCTTTTAAAGTGCGCTGTGCACCACCTGGTTTTGAATGTCCCTGTATTGTTGCCTGGAACATTCTCATTTGAAGAAAGACCTGCTTTCTCCCGACTGTAGCACATATACAAATGGACACGCATTATACATGCACAGTTCCCTTCCACACACACTGTTATCCACACACACACACACACACACACACACCACAGGCAAGGCAGCCCCAGCCATTCCAGCCAGGTGTCCTGGCCACACTAACCGCCACCTCCTCTTTCTTCTCTCTGCAGATGACGGCAACTGCTCAGACACCCTCTAAGGCCCAGGCTGTCCATATCTCCGCACCCACTGCTGCTGCCAGCACTCCTGTGCCCAGTGCCCCCATTGACCCCCAGGCCCAGCTGGAGGCTGACAAGCGAGCTGTGTACAGGTAGGAGACACCTCAGCTGTGCTGAGAAGGCCCAGCCAGCCTCAGGCCCGAGCTGTGAGAGATGAGACTGCAAGCCAGTGGGTGGGCTCGTCAAAGGCAATGACCAGCAGCTGCTCCCTTCTTAGCCTTCTCTCTCAGATCAATCCGGAGATCCCTCAGCTGGCCACTGGGGGTTGGCGCTAGCACCCTGGAATTGTCTAGTGAGGGATAAGAGGGCCTGGGCAGTATCTTCTAGGGGGAGCCCTTCTTCATCCCAGTTGGGGAGATGAGCCCTAATGAGCCAGAAACCCTCCACTCAGCAACCAGGCAGCTGCCTGGGGACTGCTGTCTGCCTCGTCTCACTGTTGCCTTTACTCCAGCAAGAGCTCTGCGCATCTATCACACCGTCTAGACCAGCCGTGGGCAAACTACGGCCCGCGGGCCGGATTCTGCCCGTTTGAAATGAATAAAACTAAAAAAAAAAAAGACCGTACCCTTTTATGTAATGATGTTTACTTTGAATTTATATTAGTTCACACAAACACTCCATCCATGCTTTTGTTCCGGCCCTCCGGTCCAGTTTAAGAACCCATTGTGGCCCTCGAGTCAAAAAGTTTGCCCACCCCTGGTCTAGCACCTGGTATGATGCGAGCTTTAGTGTGCCTGATAGTCATTGGAGAGCTTGTTAAATGCATGTTGTGGGCTCCATGCTCAGACATGCTGAGTCCATAGGTCAGGCTATAGCAACATGAACTTGTGAAAGCATGCCTGGTGACTCCAATGCAGCTGTTCTTGGAACCACATTTTGATTCATGATCATCTTGGGTTTTTAGCAACAGGTGTGTGTGCAGCTGTGTAGGTCCTGGCACCTCCCCCAGGTGGGGGCAGAGAGCAGGAACTCGTTCCATCTTGCTCTGCACCAGCCCATGCACCAGGGTGGGCCCAGAATGGTCCAGAGGGCGGAGGAGCTCGGGGAAGTTCCTGTTTACATCTGTGACTGGGAAGAAGCTGGCATCATCTGAGAGCGGGACTGAATGAGGCTCCAGCAGGGACTGAACTCTCATTCGTCCACTAAGAGAAGATGCCTGGGCCACACTCAGTTCTGAGGCTGGACCCTGGCTCACGTTCGCCGTGTGAGCGTAGGCATTCAGGCGCATCAGTGAGTCGGCTTACCTCTGGCTGGGCACACACTGCAGCAGGTGCTAATGTCAGTAACATGTGCGATGGGCCACCCAGGGTGGAGAGGAAGAAGATTGATTCCTTCTTCCTCACTCCCCACCCCCCAGATGACAGTGCCTTTATGGTAATGGTGGCGATTATTGCTGTTATTATCATTATCATTGGCATTATTTTTAGTTACTCAGATGAGCTGACGGCCTCTAATGCTAACAGTGGGGAGTCCAGAACAGTGGGCTCTGATCCATAGATCCTGGCACAGGGGTGCTTGCCAGGCCTGAGGAAAGATACATCACAGGGCCTGCCCGCCCACCCCAATGCAAGGCCTGGCCCGGCTGCCTGCAGGCAGGAAACTCCACCTTGGACCCCAAAGTACACCAGGATCTGGCCACAGTCCCTGTTAGACTCTAGGAGACAAGCCAGCCTCCCCCATCATGGGACTCGGCACTCCTGTCATCCCTGCCCTCCTTCCCATCACACTCTTATTGAACCCCTGCTATTATATGTGCTGGACTCTTGGGGAAAGAGGAAACCCCTAAAAAGATAAGTACATGGGCTGTTCTCTGTCTCCCCCGAAAAGAAACCAACACAGTGGTCAGAGCTTTAACAGTAGAGGCTCCACAGAGAGAATGTATGAGTTTGATCTTAAAGGCCAGTAAGAGAGCTCACGGGAGGAGCAGCAAGTGGAGTAGGACCTGCAGGCAGGGTAGACCTGCTGTGTTCTGGGAATGCCAGGAGCCAGAGCTGGGCGTGGAGACGCGGCTTCATCGCCACCCGTAAATTAACGGTGTGGTGGCTGGTGCCCTGCGGGGTGTGAGAAGGGAGAGGAGAGTATCATGGCCTCCGGAACTGCCTGGTGGCCCGATGACGGGGGGGGGTACAGCCACGATGCTCCATGGATCACTGCTGCTCCAAGGACGGGCACAGCAAGCAGCGTGGTGGCACCTGGGAGCTGATTAGAAATGCAGAATCTCAGCTCCCCCAGACCTCGGGATGCACGATCTGCACTTTAACAAGACCCCAGGTGATGCACATGCCCACTCAAGACTGATCCTGGGCACCTTCCCAGAGCCCTGGGGCTGGGCCCTGTACTGAGCTCAGATTCAAGTCAGGAGGGATCCCCAGATTAGGGGTGCACTTGCCTCTGAGCTTTCGTTTCTCGGCAGGGCCTCATCAGCAGGTATAATAAGGGTTCACGAGACAGCCATGTGAGTACCTGGCACCACGTCTGGCTCAAACCATAGCAGTCTCCTGGCTACCAACTGCTCCATGGGCTCCATAGCCCTTCCCAGGATCCCAGGTTCCTTCCCCTTGCCCCTCACCCCCACCCCCAGGCCAGGCTGCAGGGGAACAGCCACCCCCCCTTGTGGGAACTGCCCATCAGGATGTCACTCCTTCCTGTTCCCATTCCCACCCAATCTTCACCTCTCCCTCAGGCTGGCCACCCCACAGCCCTTGGTGTTTGCCCAGGTTATCTCTGCAGGTGGCCCCCCAACTGCCCAGCAAACATGGTGACCCGTATCTCAGGTCATCAACACCCCCAGCTTCTCTGCTCTGCAGCCCTTCCTGCCTGCCCCCTGCCCCAGGTTGTCTCTCACACCACACCTCTCCCATTAGTACCAGCTGCCCTCTCTACAGCCCTCCTGCATGACTGGGAGGGAACTCAGCCTCCAGGAGGGTCGGGTGATTTTAATTAGATTTGCCTGCCTGGGGCAGTCCGGCTGCTCTGAAGCACTTCAGGGAGTTGGCATTTCATGTCAGTAAATGTAATGAGACCCTTTTGACTGAGATTAGTGCCCACACTGACTTTTGGGAGCCCCCACCACAGCCCCTCTCAAAACCACAGGTGAAGAAAGAGTAGAGAAGTCCCCGGCCCCTGCAGGGCTACAGAGGGGCAGTGGGACAAAGGGAGGCGCACCTGTGAGGGAGGGAGCCTGCCAGTCCCCTAAGGTTTGCAAGGTTGTGTTTGTGTATGAGGATGTGTTCATGAAGTGTACTGGTTCCCTCTGATATGGACTGTGTGTGTGTGTGTGTGTGTGTGTGTGTGTGTGTGTGTGTGTATGTAGTTGGGGAGGCCCGGTCTGTCTTTAATTGGATCAGACCAGAGCATCATCTGGGCTAATCAGCCAGGCAGCCAGGAGTCCCGCTCAGATTAATGACCGCAGTCTAATCTGAGCAGACCTGGTGATTGGCTGCGCATCGTGGGTAATTGTGTTTGTGGCCCGGGAACAGTACTGGAGCGGGGGGGTGGGGGTGGGGGTGGAGGGGGGTCTGAGAAGGAGGAGGCCCCGTACAGTGGGGACCACAGGCTTGGACCCACTCAGTTCTCTCCTCCCTCAGCCCCCACCGAAACCCCAGGATTTTCCCCCAAGAAGTTAAAGTGTAGCTTGAGCCGTGGCCCCGTGTCTGTGCTGGCGGACAGACGGACGGGTGTTGTCTGGAACCTGGCAGTGAGGTTGCCAGCAGCACAGAGAAGGGCCAAAAGGGGAGGTTAATTCAGCTTCCACACTCCCTCCTCCCCTCCAGTCTCCTTCCTTTCCCTTGAAGTGAGTTGGTTCCCATGGAAACGATGATGTCCTGGGGAGCAGAAGAGAGGCAGGGAGCTGGCCTGGCCAGGTGCAGTGGAGGAGGAGGCCGGCTTTGCTGAGACTGTTCAGGAGACTCTGTGGTTCTCACCCCTAAGGCTGAGAACCCACGAAGTGGCCGGCCTGGCGCTGAAAAAGTGGCCTGTTATTGATGGGAAATGCTGCGTGGAGGTGTGAGCACCGAGAAAATAGCAGGCAGTGTGCTTTGCTTCTCCATTAAAAACGCTCGAGAATTGAGCTGCAGGTCAGACGGACAGGGTGAGTGGCTGCTGCACCCTATACAGTTGACCCTTGAACAACACAGGGGTCTAGGGGTGCTGACCCCGAGGCAGTAAAAACCCCAACTATAACTTTGACTCCCCCAAAACTTAACGACAGTGGGCCCTTTGCATCCACAGATTCAACCAGCTGCGGAGAGAAAGCAGTGTATTTGATCCACAGTTGGAGGACACAGGTCGGTAATGTAAAAATGCTGTTTATTTGATCCGCAGTTGGTTGAATCTCGGATAAGAAACCCATGGATACAGAGGGCCATATATTTATTGGGAAAAATCCATGTATAATGGGGCCCGCACATTTCAAACTCATGTGGTTTAAGAGTCAACTGTATTTTTCCTTTGTGGCATTACTCACAATGGAATTGACAATGGTGTTAACATCATTTCTGTTTTTCCCACTAGATCAGTGATGGCGAACCTCTGACACGCGTATCAGAGGTGACACACGAACTCATTTTTTTGGTTGATTTTTTCTTTGTTAAATGGCATTTAAATATATAAAATAAATGTCAAAAAATATTAATCTTTGTTTTACTATGGTTGCAAATATCAAAAAATTTCTATATGTGACACGGCACCAGAGTTAAGTTAGGGTTTTTTCAAAATGCTAACACGCCGAGGTCAAAAGGTTCGCCATCACTGCCCTAGATTGTTAACTCCGCGAGGGCAAGGTCTGTGTCTGCATCTTTCATTGATTTATCCCAAGCACAATACCTAATACCTTAGAGCAGCGGTTCTCAACCCCTGGGTCGCGACCCCTTTGGGGGTCGAACAACCCTTTCACAGGGGTCGCCTAAGACCTTCGGAAAACACATATATAATTACATATTGTTTTTGTGATTCATCACTATGCTTTAATTATGTTCAATTTGTAACAATGAAAATACATCCTGCATATCAGATACTTACATGACGATTCATAACAGTAGCAAAATTACAGTTATGAAGTAGCAACGAAAATAATGTTATGGTTGGGGGTCAC